GAAAATTACGGTACTTGATTGGCAGTATAGTTGTTATCTTATTCGTTGCAGTTTGTTTTCTTATTAATGTGTGTTTGGAATAGTAGTTTGTATGTATTTATATTGCGAGTTACATATTCAATAACTTGATTGTAGAAGTGTGTGTTCATTTCTAGGTCTGAGTGTGTTCAAAACGTGTATTGTAATCGCTGTTTAAATGCTTTTGCTTTGTCTTTGTAAGTGTGCGCTAGTGTGGTATTCTATGATCGATATCATACTGAAACGCCGAAATTTCCCGCGCCTTTAGGCCCGAACCCCGAACTCTTAAGCACTTAGCGACACCTCTGCTCAGAAGCGCAACTAACTAGTCTAGAATAATTAACACAGCTCTTACACTGTGGTGTTTCTCAAGTATAGTCACTCTAAATTATCTTAACAAACAAACAAAAAAGACAATGCTAGAAAATGCAAATAAAAGCATTAAAATACAATGCCGGCCAAGTGAAAGTTGGCATAACTGTCAACAAGCACAAGTAGAGTCATAAAAATTACATATAATTATTTTGGAAAACCTATCACACACAGACCTAATAAAAAATAAAAGAAAATGGTTGGCTCAGTATGATCAGTCAAGAAATATTTAGTAACTCTGAAGTATACAGTTCAGATGAGATGGATGTAGTCAACTAGAAAGCAGTTCACTATGAGTGTTAGGGTATTTATCTTGGGGTTAATGGAATCTTAGAAGATAAATAAAAACATATGGTCACTTGTTCTAATACTATTGATTGGCAAGAAATAACCCCTGAGGATGGGAGAATGTCTGCAAATCATCACATACTGTTGCTTGCAGCATAGTGAACTATGTAAGTGTCTGTACTACAATTTCTTTGTTGTTAAGCACAAAGCTACACAATGGGATATCTGTGTTGTGCCCATGCGGGTATCTGAACCCGTTTTTTGTTATTGTTTTTTGGCATTATAAGCTACTGGAGGCGTCTGTGCTACAATTTCTTTGTTGTTAAGCACAAAGCTGCAAAATGGGCTATCTGTGTTGTGCCCATGCGGGTATCTAAACCCTTTTTTTTTTTTTGCATTATAAGCCACTGGGGCGTCTGTGCTACAGAGAGGTGGGATTGAGAACAGTAATTACTGTCTCTAAATCCCAGTGCAGGCGATTATGAGGAATGTTATAAATAATACACCAGATTTTATTACTTATTTAATGTAAAATGGTGATTGTTGGTATTCCATGGCACATATCTCGTCAATATTCATCGATAATTTATCAGAAAACATCTGAACTGTCATTAAATATGGTATTGGTTTGATGATCTGTTATCATAGAGTGGGTAGACTATATGTAGGGATGGTCAAGGTACTCAATAGGCATAATACAAACATGCACGCTAAAAATCAACAATGACAGAGTTTTACTTTAAAATGATTGCCACTCACTTTCATTTGTTTCTCTACCCCAAAAGCCCCAAAACAAATCAAGAAACCATCGTTAATATACCAAACGAGAAAGTTACCAACCCACCAAATTTTTCATCTCTCTTCTACTTGTTGACCGACCTCGTAACCATTTATTAAGAAGCAGGAATGTATCTAATAAAAAAAAGGTGCAATTTATTCATAATTTATTATGTCTCAATGGTTCAGCGGTAAGTCTCAGGGGCTTAAGAAGCTAAAAATTCGGTTTCGATACCAGTGGTGGGCGCAGGACAGATAACCCATTGTGGAGATTTGGGCTTCACAAAAAACAAGACAACAATTAATTCACTATACTATATGTACAAAACAAAAGAATAATATAAAATTATGAATCATTTTGTACTTCGTACTAGGGAATTTATTGTTTGTTTGTTTGTAATTAAGCACAAAGCTACACAATGGGCTATCTGTGCTCTGCCCACCACGGGTATCGAAACCCGGATTCTAGCGTTGTAAGTCCGCAAACATACCGCTGTGCCACTGGGGGGCAGGGAATTTATCTTTGTAAACAGTAGAAATTGACTGTCGCTACACCGACAATACATTAAGGTTATTTTAAATGAATTTCATGGGTCGTCTTGAACTTTGAATTTGATAATACCAAAGTTGAGGAATTAAAAGGAAAGGAATATAACAGATCTAGTAATGCTATGTGAAACTGTTTAGATCATTTAACTTTTAAAGGCAAGAAATATATTTTACTACCAGAAACGCCGTCCGTAGGGCGTCTGTTTGTGCCAGTAATTACTAATCGTCTTATTAAACTGCAATGTTTTATCTATTAAAAGTGGTACCGTTTATTGAAAAAATAATAATTTTTTAAAATAATTCTAGTTTCCAATAGTAATTTAAAAATTACGCCAATAAAGATATAACCAAACTGAAAGTCGTGTTCTTGTTGTGAGGAGAGTACTTTTATTTAAAATTGTGTTCTATTATAAAAAATGGTTGTTGCACATCCCACAGTTATTTGTCTAATTGTCTGAATCTTGTAAAGTTTTTTGTATGAATTTTTTGTTTGTGGTGCCATTCAATAGATGGCCCAGGTGTTTTGGTTACATACTGATATACACGTCCATTATAGTAAAATATTACGTCTAACTACATCGATGATACATTACGACTATGCTACGAATGCACTTATCCTTCAAGATTTTTTATTTCCTCAAATAATTTTTTTCATGGCCTACTTTCTGTCTTCTTTTTTTTCTTTCTGCACAACTTGATAATGAAATTTGGAGAAGCAAAGTTATGCATGTTCGAAGGGGAGAAAAGGCCGTAATACTTAAGCGCTGAATATAGCCCTAACTTAATAAGCCTAACACTAAGATGTATTGTTTGTTTTTGAATTTCGCGCAAAGCTACACGAGGCCTATCTGCGCTAGCCGTCCTTAATTTAGCAATGTAAGACTAGAGGGAAGGCATCTAGTCATCACCACCCACCGCCAACTCTTGGGGTACTCTTTTACCAACGAATAGTGGGATTGACCGTCACATTATAACGCCCCCACGGCTGTAAGGGCTGTTTGGTGTAACGGGGATTCGATTGCGAGTCGAGCGCCCTAACCACCTGGCCATGCCGGGCCTCACTAAGATGTAAACACAGCTCGCTAATATTCATTTGAATTGTTCATAGTAACTTCCAATTTAGTAAATAAACGTTTGCCTCAGTGCAGCGGCACTATCTACAAACATTAGTCTTAGAAACATGAAATGAAGAGTAATTAGTTTCGTGCTACGTCCTATTGGTATTAAATGAGTTATTATATTGATTGTTATTCAATTTTTTCGATTCTAAAATAGAAAAATACAACATGATTCTTAATAACTATTTATCAAAACTCAATATTACAAATACGTATTTATTTTATCAAGACCACAATCATGATATAAGTAGCACAATCCAAGTCAACAAATTTTTGTTTCGTGGTCTCTGCATTACCTGTGAATAGACGAATCTATATAAATATAATAGTACTGTCTGTTGTATGTCCATGTAACTACTTCGCAGGGTGTGGATGGATCTTCACTAAAATTGGTATGGAAGTTCATTGGATCTATGCGGGGGTACATACAATTTTTTTTTAATCTTCCATTTTGCGTTTTGCGGTTTTTATGGGTGTTTTTGCGTTTTTTTACCACTACCTCACCTCCTGCGGTTGGATCTTCACCAAATTTGGTATGGAGGTTTAAAAGGTCCATTTTTTTTTACAATTACGTATAAGGAAAGCAACTTTTCATGTCATAAGATAACCTTTCATTAACCATGAATTTACATAACTTCTGTCCAGGGGACTGGTACTCCAGCTAGTCAATATAATATCATCGAATTTGATTCAAATTCTTTTTTGTTTCTTACTTACTACTTGTTATTTAAATCCTGGTTTTATTTTTACTAAAAAAAAAAAAAACTTATATGTCAAACGCATTTATTTTCTACAGCTACAGAAATACATATGATATGAATCTTTAGTATTACATTAAACACTGTGATCAGCAAAACGTTTACTTGATGTTTTATATTCTTATACGTCACGTCCCCCGGTGGAACAATGTTAAGTTTACTGATTTACAATGCTAAAATAAGGGTTTCGATTCTCCTCGGTGGACACAACAGATTGCCCATGTGACTTTGCTACAAAAACACACATTATACACCACACTATTTTGCAATTTCTTACATAAAATGCCCCCCAGTGGCACAGCGGTATGTCTGCGGACTTACAACGCTAGAATCCGGGTTTCGATACCCGTGGTGGGCAGAGCACAGATAGCCTGTTGTGTAGCTTTGTGCTTAATTACAAACAAACAAACAAACAAACAAACTTACATAAAATAAATATTACTCGCAAATGAACACTCAATTTAAACTTATAAATTATCACCAACTCAATCTTTTTTGCATGTTCCTCACCTTTACCAGCAAGTCTTGCGTAGCTCATCAGCGTCATCAGTTTATTGGAAGCACCTTTTTCCATGGTGGGTTAACGATATTTTTGTACTGTAGTTTCTAATACTGACTGTGGCTAACCCTGTCGCTGTTTGATATAAAACCATATGATGGCCTCGTACGATTTAAGTGTTTATATCAAAACTATTTATGTACTTTTACCCACATTCACAAAAACACACGGGTTCTTTGGCTGCTTCAGAATTGCAACAGTACTGGCTAAAACACAAATATGAAACCTGCATATTAATAACACTATACACACCAGCTGTGTCGTGCATCAGCAGCCCCTATTCCTCCCGTACATGTTACAGGTGGAGTTAAGCCCTTACAGAGGTATAGAAAGATTCACAGTGTATACAAACTACATGCTGAAACTGGTTCATTTTCCTTTTATTGTGTGTGACTTTACGATGCTAACCTGATATATTCTACACCCAGAACCAAGATACTTTCAGCTGAACATCATTATCAATCATTCATGCAATATCCAATTATACAATGCATAATTTTGTTTTTAATACAAGTTAATTTAAGAATACACCTACATAAAATTAGCATTTTACTCTAATTTCACCTGTATTATACTGAGGGTTCTAGTTCTTAGACTTTCAGCAAAATTTCACACGACTTTTATGTATTTTTTATTTTGAAGCTTTTGTCATTTATCAGTGAATTTCAGCGTCAGTCTTAAATTTTACAATTTCTGGATATTACGTTCTGTTACTGTATATCTGACTTGTTCTTTGTAAGTAAAGTTAGTACAAGTCATACATTATCTGTGTGACAGACACTAAAGTTGTACAAAGTCATTACAGATTTTAAAGAATGATGCATTATTATTGGACTCCCACTTCTTGACAAAGTAACGACTCGGGAGACGACCCTGTTATTCATGCTAGCATTGCTACTACGAAAATAAATGAAAAAAAACAAGTGGGAGGGGGAGTGTATTTAGGTAATGTTGAGGCGATTATATATCAATAGCTATTGTGGTTCGTAGCCTAAACAATTACCTAAGCCTAAGTACTAGTTACTTGCTGATTTTTTTATTAGATACTAACTACCTTTTAGTAGCCGAATTGTAGGTTACTGACTAATAATTAACTAGTATTCAATAAATAAGAAGTCACTGATTAGGAATTATACTTACAAACAGATATGCCGTCCTACGGGCTGCTGTTTGTGCTAGTAATTACTAATCGCAGTATTTATCTTTTCATCTTCTCATATTGCGACATTTTTCTTAGTCCGTCTTCTTTCTTGCTTGAGAGATTCTTCAGCCCGTTATTCCTTTTGCCTTCTTGCTCATTCTCACCTTTCATCATCATATTTATACTTTTCTGGTTTTCCTATCTTAAATGGCTTTCTTTGGATGCTCTTCTTATACGTTTAAAACACACTCTAAGAATACAGAAAAGTCTTTAAGCAATCAACATTTCATCTCTGCATCAATATTATCAATATGTTGATGTTTAAACACTTTTCTGTAGTTTTGGTTACATATATAGATACTGACATTCACACTGACATAACAAAAAGTATTTTTTCATGTTATGTGATTGTTTGTTTGAAGTTAAGCACAAAGCTACACAATGGGCTATCTGTGCTCTGCCCACCACGGGTATCGAAACCCGGTTTCTAGCGTTGTAAGTCCGCGGACATACCGCTGTGCCACTGGGGAGCCATGTTATGTGAAACAAAATTTAGGGAAAAAAAAGCTTTAAAAATGGATGGAATAGGGAAACTGAATGCCAAAATCTTTGCTTAACTGTGGGAATGAAAAGTTAAATTGCATTAGGTAAGATCTAATTTAGATAAACATCTCTAATGCTGATTTGATCCATAATTTTATAGCAGTATCATGCGATTAAAATCGCGAAAGTTTCAACCCAATCTTTTGAGTGCCACAAAGGAATCAAAGGTCTTGTACAGTAAATTATTTCTCAGATGGGGCATTAGAACTAAATTACTCAGAATTAAACGAGAGACTATTGAAGATACTAACATTATGAGACTAACACACGTCAGAATATAGTGTGATTACTTGGTGTTCTTCCTGATTATATATTATTTGTTACTTTTCAATGATTGAAATATACACTTCACAAGGCGATGTGCGACACTTACAATGTCATGTTTAAAAAAAAACAACTGGTGATGTGTATTTAAGCAGCAAAAGAAGTAACAAAGTTCGTGTTTTTTTTATATAAGTTCCGTGTGGGAAGCGGATTAAGGGTCACATCAACATCGTGCAACATTATGATTTTTACAGTATCAAACAAGTATAACCATAAGCAACTTGCAATGTTAATATAAGACAGAATGTTCACCCATCATAAAAGTCTGTTCATCAACGATTATGATCAAAAGAAAGTTAAGAAGTATGGTTACTGAACGACTCCTTATGTACATAGCGGACTAAAAAAAGAACCACGTGGTTCAGGTATAGCTGTTGCTAACTTTCAAGTGCGGACCAGAGAGAAGACACCAGTAGGGAGAACTCTTAACCGAATAGAGTGTTGCAAAGTGTGTTTGGTAGCACCACGTCTCGAACCCAAGACTCTCAGATCCCCAGTCCGATACGCTAGCCACTATGTGACTAAGCCATTCTCGAACCATCTTTGAGATAATACAGAATACTGGCCCAGCATGGCCATGTGGTTGGGGCGCTTGACTCGCAATCTAAAGGTCGCGGATTCGAATCCTCGACCCACCAAACATACTCGCCCTTTCAGCTGTGGGGGCGTTATAATGTGACGGTCAATCAAATAGTAGCCCAAGAGTTGGCGGTGGGTGGAGATGACTAGTTGCCTTCCTTCACTGCTAAATAAGGGACGGCTAGCGCACATAGCCGCCGTGTAGCTTTGAGCAAAATCCAAAACAAACCAAATCAAGATATTAGTTTGGAAAATCGACACATCCATTAATATCGACTTCCGGTTTACTTATGTCAAGATGAACAATGACATAAGTGGTTCAAGGAAACAGAATATGTGTATTTCAAAAAGGAGCACTAGACCAAAGAGCGTAACTTAGTATATAGTCGTCTTTATTTGATTCACTTTTCTCACATACCCGGGTATGTTAGAACAGTGGTTCCCAAACTTTTTATGCTGCATACACTTATTCAAACCTTTGAACCAGTGCCGTGCCCTTGACATATATAATCTGTTACGTAAAACTGAAGGTTTATGAGTGGTTTATAATATTTAAAAGGCAAATCAAAATGAATAATTCATAGATGAGTCAACATTTTTCCGAATGTTGAGTGCTGACTTGTGGAATACGTTGGTAACTGACCGCTTTTGTCTTCCACTTTTGAGGCGTGAGATTGATTTTATTTTTAATGTTTATCAAAGGTTTCCGCATAACACTGTATTACAGAACTTTTTACCCGCATTTTGGAAGCACGAATTTTTTTCCAGTTCGACGAGGTATTATTCCTATTTTTACATTTTATGTTTATGAGGCGTATAATGGATTAGCCATGAGGGACCGTTATACATGTTATTATAGGCACTCCTCACTTTCCGAACCCTGGACTTTTAATTGTAGGGATCACATTATGTTTGAAAAACAAACCTATATGAATGGTTTTTTTTTCTTTTCTCTGATAACAAGTTGTGTTTCTGGAGAACAAGGGCAGTGACCTGAGGTGAAACATACGAAAATATTTAAAAGACACTAAATATAAACATATTTTTGAGTTATATTTATTAATTATATGCCGGTATGCATACCACCCCACTTTAATCTCTGGTCATTTCTAAGGTTTAAACATGTCCGCCAACAGGACGGCTAGCGCAGATAGGTCTCGTGTAGCTTTGAGCGAAATTCAAAAACAAACAATACATCTTAGTGTTAGGCTTATTAAGTTAGGGCTATATTCAGCGCTTAAGTATTACGGCCCTTTCTCCCCTTCGAAGGTTCATAACTTTGCTTCTCCAAATTTCATTATCAAGTTGTGCAGAAAGAAAGAAAAAAAAGAAGACAGAAAGTAGGCCATGAAAAAATTATTTGAGGAAATAAAAAGTCTTGAAGGATAAGTGCAGTGATAGACCACGTGTTTGTCAACGTAGTTGAAAACGCCAAAGTGCACTAAGAAGTCATTTGGGATGTGATACAAAGCTCGAGGATGTTTAGCAAATGTTTTTAGCCTTTTTATTTAGAAATCATTACATTTTAACACATATTCGACTATTTACAGACAGTATATTTAAAGATTGGAATCATCTGTAAATCCCGAATCAGATAATTACATCCTAATTCTCGAGACAACAAAATTTTAGGGATAAGATATATATTGTTACGTCTCCGTTTGTTAATTGATTTTTCCGTAACTTTGTTCCGACGAAATTTT